TTCCGGGTAAATGAATACAGGAAGTGTTTTGTCTTTTAAGCATTTGCGAAGTTATTTGCTTCATTCCATCCATATTCTCTAGCCCGTGGGAACAGTGAAAAGCAAGTTCCTCCCAAACCCGAAGAACAGAAGGAAAGAAAACCTACGGATATGCAGAGCCAACTGCAGCCCACGAACCAAGCTACCCTTCCAGGTAAGAGCTGGATCCTGCCGTCTGGCTGGCTCCTAGGAGCCACCCGCTCTCTTGCAGGTATAAGACGTGTTCCCCAAAATAAGAAAGTGGGTCCCAGTCTCCTCTCCTCCAAGGATGTCATGGGGATAAGAACCATGGCATGGCATTTGCAGGCTATTTGCTCAGCATTTCAAGGGGCTCTCACTGTGGCCCACCTGGGCTCGGGGTTGCCCCCTGGGTTGGGAGCTGGCTAAACAGAATTCAACTGCAATTTGATTCAATTCGATTTGACTCGATTTGATTTTATTCAATTCATTCAATTCGATTCGATTCAATTCGATTCAATTAGCTTTCGTTGGGACTCGAGGTGCCAGGCACTGCCAACGAGATACAAACATGAGTAGACAACAGTCCCTGCTCTCGAGGACAAGGGAATGAACTGCCAGCAAAGCAAGTCACTTCAAAATGATTCTCGTGCCGGGGCTGTAAAGCACGCGGGGCCGTCCCAGCGCTGCCCACAAACACCTCGCAGCCGACGGGCTGCGGATGAGTGAGCACCATCACCCAGCCGCTGCCACGACCTTCCACAGTGAACCCCCCGGCAGTGCAGCCATTATGTCAGTGGGGAACAAGACCCATCGGGAAAGCTTTCGGGGGACCAGCTGACCTTACAAAACCCTACGGTCCCATGCCGATCTCGTAACCTCGCGAGGAACTGTTTCATGTTGCGTGTGATCTCACCAGACCCTCAGAACCCAGCGAGTCAGAAAGCGGGAGGACCACTTCCATATGCCGAAGACATTGAGATGAGGAAGGCAAAAGACTGGGCCAGGACCTCAGATCTCTCGAATTAGACCAGGGACCTTCCCGCTGGTTACTTACGTTAAGAGTTTGACTGTATTTGCAGCTTCCATTAAACAACAACAAGAGAAAGACTAATCCAGGTGCACTGTTGCAACATGATGCTTTTTCCCTTTTACCCCTTTGATTTGGTACTGGAATGCTGTTTCGAGGCACATTTAATTGTTTGTCTTTCTTTACGTCTCCCGTATTACCCTCCACAGTTATTGAAAGTTTCCTCAGAAGGTCAGTGTTTGCTGTCCTTACTCAAGAGCGAACGGGCTGCTTCTGGCTGAGGGATGTTTCGCAGAGTGTCTTAGTTAGGATGTTTTCATTTGAAAGAAGCAAATGCACGTCAAACGGGTTCAGACAGTTCCAGATGTCACTGGCTGCAAAAGAAATTATTTGAGACCAAAACATGAGTTCAGTCATAATCTACGAGGTGCCACACCGGAGCAGATGGCTCGGGACAGGACCAGCGAGCTTCCTGCTGGGGCACAGGGGTCACACAGAGTGCTTGTCCAGGCTCTACTGGGTCCCGGGCCCCAGAAGGTCTGGGTGGGCGGAGAGCGTACACGTGGTTTCCCATATCGGGGAAACGGTTCCATATGCCCAGACTGAGAGCGGGGTGGAAATGTCCCGAGATTAAATCAGAGCAAGATATGATCTCTGGGGTTAAAGCTCAGTCCGACTTGGGTTTTAGTTGGGGGTGTGGAAAGTTACTGAGCACGGGGACTGTTCAGAGGCCTGGACAGGGGTCACATAGGGCAGGCTTCAGGCGAGGCTTGATCAGTGAGCACGCTCCCTTTCTCCAGGGTTCTCGTCCTTCCTCCGTGGTCCCAGGTGACCATTGGCGGCAGCCCAAGGACGCAGCTGCCTCACTTAGTAGTGGACGCAGCTGCCTCACTTAGTACCCAGGGCGGTCTTCGCACATCAGTGACCCAGACCGGCTTGAGCCTGCCCTCAGCCCTCCCGTCCGTCATGGACGCCCTCCCCGTCATGGGTAACTGCTCGTGCCTCTGTGGCCCTGTAGCAAGCACCCGTTCCTCGGCTACAGCATGCGGCACATTCTGCCGTCACGTGTCTTTCTTACTCGCTGAACGGCCCCTCCTTGCAGGAGGGACTGGGTCCTCGTGCCTTCCCACGAAGCGCCCAGCAGAGCTCCCGACATGTGGACGTTCCAAGTCATACTGAATGAATGAATGAATGAATGAATGGACACAAGAACGAGAACCCAGGCCCAGCCTCCCCACTGGGACATGCTCACAGCGCGTCCCCCAGCGTGCCTTAAGGACATGCTTTCTTTCTTCTAGGCCACTGCAGGAAGCCTCCGCCATGGGACCACGAAGATTCGGAGAGAATCTACCATTTCGTGGTGGGGCAGACAGTACACTACAAGTGTGCCCCGGGATTCAGGGCCCTGCAGAGAGGTCCTGCCACGAGCGTCTGCAAAATGGCATGCGGGATGACGAAGTGGACGCAGCCCCAGATCAGGTGCATGAAGGCAAGGCAGGACGGCCAGCTGCCAGGTACGGTGGCACCTTCTTCGATCCACCGTCCTGCTTTTTCCATCAGGCCGACCCGTGCAGAATTCCCGACCTACCAGCCGTGCGACCTCGGGCAAGCCACTTAATCTTCTCGGGCCTCTGTTTCTTTCTTATTTCAGAAAAAAAGACTAGATAAACTCTCAGGTTCCTGTCACCTGAGGTCCCCTGTACCCTGAGTGGGGACAGCAGGAGATGGGAGAGGAGAAAAGGTCTTTGGAGAGTCCCAAAGCGGCCGGATCACTTGCCGGTGACGGCGCCGCCCCTGTCCCACCTGTCCCTGCAGTCTGGCTTCTCCGTCTGCGCCACCAAAACTTCCTCTCGTTCAAAAGGGAAAGCTCGGCCTGCCACCCGCACGTTCCTAACTCACTGCTACATAGCCTAAGTCCATCGTCTGCACGGTGCCGACCGCTGGCATGCAGCCTCCCCTTGTGTAATTCCTACCTGGGCTTCGACAAAAGTCCAGATGTGCTGGGAAGGGACTTATTCAAGCACACACCCCACACACACACGCACACGCACACACACACTCATTCACACACACACGCACAACCCACGGACGTTGAGATCTGCTGCTCTTTTCATTCTGAAATCGTGTTACTATTTCTATAATCAAAAGCCACTTGCATCGCACCGTGTGTCACTGGCTTCTCTGCTCACCACTC